GAATCCATTTTTGCTTTTACCCAATTTTCCTGAAAAGCAAATACAAGCTGTGAATCCAAAGGAGCAGTGTGAATATCCCGTCCAAAAGCACACAACAGCATGTTCTGGCAGACCTCCCTGTTCGGCTGACAAAGACATTCATCTTATTGTCTTCATTTACTGTGAGACACGAGGAGATCAGACGAGTGGGAGTGAATTAGAAATGCCTACTCCGATCACAGCCTTTGTAAGCTTTGTAATCCCAAAAGTCATTACCAAGCCGTCAGCCTGCAGTCCATTCTTCTTGTAACCCTAGTTGCATTCGAGGCAAGCTTTAATCAAGGGGATTATAGGTGAATTTGAGCTGTGGTCTGGATAACTGAATGGGGAGCTAATCAAAGAGAAGTGGTAGGTAATGTGGGACAGTTGCACAGGAGAATTCTTCATCTCTATCACTGATCACCTTTTGATCACAAACAGCAGACAGAATACATTTGGAATTTTACCAGTTTTGCTACAGTAGTACAAGTCATTTCAGCAGACCCCATCCAGACGGAGACAATTTCCGTTGTATCAGCTAAAGTATCTTGTTAACTCAGCTCTTGTCCACACAAAACTTGTCAATTGAAACGTGGTTCGAGAGTGGAGGAGTTTGGAACCCTTGTATACGCTTTTTTTTTTTAAATACAGGACTTCTTGTGTGATATTTCTGCTTAAACTTGTCTTGACATAAACTAGAGGCCACACACGGCCCTGCAGCTTAAATCCACATGGGCTGTAAAGAGACCACAGTGTTCACTAAAACGGCTCGTCCTCAGCTGACAGAACCTACACATTTGTCAAAGTTCAGATTTTGTGTGGATTTTTGTGTCCCTTGTTATTCTGACCTTAATTTTTTTTAATCTATCAGTCAAATCAACACTTTTGCCATCTTCCTTTGTCTGATTTGGTGCAGCCTCACAGCGGCCCCATCAGGCCAAGCGTGTACATTACAATTGTCTATGGTCAATTAGATTAATTTTTCAGCTCTGTGTGGACAAATACATCTACAGTGCCGCTTCAGTCTGTACGTAATCTGGTTTCAAGACGATCTGCCTTTTTGTCTTCGACTGGACAGGGCCTTACTGAAGGAAGATTTTATAACAGGTAACATCACAAAGAAGTCAAAAGTACATGGAGTAAGCAGTATTGTTGCAGAAGGTTGATGCCAAACCTCCTGCAAGGAGGAGCCTTTGCATATACAGTGGTACAACAAAACACATGTATTTCATCATTTTATTAATTTCCATAATGGGACTATAGTTCCACTGAAAACATTCCAGGTAATGGGACTCCAATTCCAAGTAGCTCACAAAAGGATTTATTAATAACTACAGTACTTACTGGACTATAAGAGTTTACTTAACGCTCTGGCCTATATAGAGATGTGGCTACTGAGTGTAATTTTATTTTGTTAGAGCACCATTCCTTCTTCAGTGCGTTTATGTGAATAACGTAGGGACAGGAGGAGGCGCAGGGAAAACACAGGACATGTTTTTATGTGATTAGGGCAATAGTGTTTATGGACTTACTGTACATACTGTACATCTGTCACATGGTGATCACAATTATTCAGATAACAAGGGAACACTGTGAGGGTCTGTATGGTTATGTGAAAGTATTTATTCTAACATGCAAAATCTAGACACGTTAAATTATGATGTACTTTTATTAATAGTATAATAGTATTTTTGATTTCATTTCAGGGCCTTGATTAGAGGAAAAATATAAAATATGTTTTGGTGGCCCAAGATAGGTTTGATCATTTATTTTGATAATCCCTTAATACCTTTTGGAATTTATGTTGTTGACTTGTGGAAGCATTGATTGTCTAAAATAAAATAAAAAAATCATCCCTCCATCCAACTTCTGTGAGTCCACAGGAGGATGACCGTTGTGTCAGTGACGATACAGCATTTTCAGCGGGGGCTTCAGGTTAAATGAGGTTAAGTGTCTTGCCCAAGGACACAACGGCAGCAGTGGGAGTCGGTGGAGAAGATCTTGTGGTGGGCTTGAACCCACAATCTTCAGGCTCAAAGGCCAAGATTGTTTGACTGTCGCCCCTGTCAAAATATGACTTGTCAAAGTAATTTAAGTATTATGTCAGTATTGTATATACAGTAAATACCGTCAATGAAGATACTTTTTTTTAGCACAGAAATGCTAATGCTTAAGCCAAAGAAAAACAACAATACGTACATGACTATTTTAATACATTTTGCACCAAACTTGCGTTCAAATAAATAGCATTGAATATTGAGAGACTCAGTCCATCAACCTATTGGAGGAGTCTTATTGTCAAAATGTATGTACTAATTCTATTTAAACTGGTACGGTTTATATACAGGTACTAATAGTCCAGACAGTACTGTAATAATATCATTTGACATTTAATGATTCATGTGCCAACAACAACTATTGTAAATGCATACTCCAGCTAAAGTGCTCTCCCATGTTCATCCTTGAAAAGTAGCTTTCTGGTGAATACTAGCCAACATGAAAAGGCTGTCCATATCCCAGTGAGCTACTCAGTCATGTCACAAAGCTTCCCATAAGAGCAATGTAGATTACAAAAAATCATCCTACCACATAATATCACAAGCTCAACATTTTAAATATTAAGGGAATCATTCATATCACCGCAACTATGATCAATTATTGCCCTCTGTCCGTGGGAAACACAACATGTCACAGAGTGGTGTGAGTTTAAAAAGCTGTACAAGATGCCTTCAGTGTCTCATGTCCATGTGCCCTGGGACTGACTCCTCCCAGGTCCGTGAACGCATCAGGAGCACAACAAGCACTGAGGTAAGATGGGCCTACTCACCCATGGGAAAAAACGTGACGAGAGACAAGTATCAATAATACGCAGTAGAAACTGTACTCAAAAGCTACACCCAGGCTATCGAGCGCTGGAGCCAATTTATAATATATAAAATAAATAATGACATCTCAATATTTAAATGTAACCCTTCTATCCACTACGCCGAACATAAGCTACAGTTATTCAAGAGTGCAAGCTCAAGTGCTGCACCAAATGGCTTTAGATAAGAAAAACAACTAGAATAGCGTTATTCATTTGTGTTAGTACAACTATGCAAAAACGTCTGCATTTAAAGGCTGACAATGTGTGTGTATTGTGCAAGGTATTGCAAAGTGGATGATGACTATAGCCCTGTTTCCACCAGCCCTTCTTGGCACTACTCTGCACTACTCGGCTCTACTCTCCCTGATTGGGAGTGTTTACACTGGCTCCCAGTCGGGGTAGAAGTCAGTCCGGTACCAGTTACTTTTTTAGTATGTGTTTGGTCCTGGTTCTATCGAAGCCGAGCTGGTACTAAAGTGTTCTAACTGACAGTGATTGGCCAGAAGGCTGCTGGAAGGTTGCTAGGATACAGTACCAGATACTAAAGTGTGATGGGATCGCAACCAGGTAGAGTAGAGCCGAGTAGAGTAGGGCCAAGTAGGGCTGGTGGAAACAGGGCTTCTGCTAACTTTCATACTAACACTGAAGCTGTCCAAACGCTGCTGTGATTAAAGTACTTAACCATGTAAGTCATGTGTCCTATAATTATGGAGATATGATATAATGATGTCAACATCCATCAAACCGTTTGTTATTATGGTTTTGATCAATAAAAATCTCCCTGATCAGTTCTCTCTGACAAGCCTGATGGCCGAAGCATACTGTACATCCGTCACAAATGATGATAAGTAACATTTACATATCAACGAGACCTTTGAAGCTCTGTATGGCTGTACATCTGAAAGTATGTATTTATGTATGTTTATTCTAAAGATAAATTAAATCATGTCATTTTAATAGTATTTTTGACAGTATTGCAAGGCCTTGGTTGGAGGAAAAATATATAATATGTATAATATTTTCTGTGGTTCAAGTTAGGTTGGATAATTTTGATAATCCCTGAATACCTTTTGGCTTTAATGCTGTTGACTATTGTGGAAGCCTTGATTGTCTAAAATAAACGTTAGTTTAATATTTTGTTAGTCATTTAGTTACTATTACGGTGCAGAATAAACACCATTTATCAATGAATAAGTAGGCATATTAGCTAATGCTAAATGCTAATGCTAAAGCCAAAGAAAACCAACAACACATACTAGACTATTTTAAAACCATAAATTTGCACCAAACTGGTGTTCAAATAAATAGCATTGAATATTGAGAGCCATTTTGTCTCCTTCCAAAAGGAGAAAATCAACTTTCATGCAGAACCGCTGTTTGCTTTAGCTCGGTTAGCATTAAGGATCAGTGGGAATACTATGCTAATGCTAAAGCTAACAATATGACAAACATGCTCGTGGTTTTCATAAAGGCTACAGCTCATTGAAAGGCTATCACGACACAAACACCGTAAAAGGCCTTCAGAGTGGGATCTACAGTATGTCGCCTTAAAAACTGTGAGTACAATTCCTTATCAAACTAAATATTTTCACCTGAGTTTTAACAACGATCCGTACCAAACACTATCACACGATTTTATTGTTTATAAAAGCTGTGTCCAATACAGCGTCACAATAAGGTAAAGATCGACACCGAAAATACACAAATAGATGCTGGATTTGTAATCGCTAATGCTGAAAAGCACTTTTTTATATACACAGAAGCGCTAATCCTTTCAGCTCCAAATACCTTCTAAAAAAGATATAGATATAGAACGGCTTTCAGCTCTCGTGTCACGGAGAAACTTCTACTCTAAAACTAGGTAGACACTCCTAGCTAACTCCTCTGCTAACGCTTTCCACCATTTTGGAAAGGTATCGGGAGATTAACCACGCAATTGACCAGTCCCTTTTGAAGACTATGGGCAACGAAGGAACAAAACCAGGCCAATGCGTCCGGGACGTCCGACACCAGGGAGAGAGGGGCGTTCCAACTCAAGGCCTGTCTGTCAGAACAGGACAGCGGGATCACTCAAACCGGGCAGCGTAGAGCCCAGGGAAATTCTACTTCAGCCGGGTCACAACAGGTCGTCATAGTCCAGGAGTTTGGAGTGCTGACGGTTCTTCCACAGTCGGAAAAGACGGAAGTCAAAGTAGGTCTCAATCATCTCTTTACCTTAAGGGAAAAACAGAAAGAAAAAAAAAACACTTACTTTACAGACATGGAATTGTTTCAGTGTTGCCATGACATTTTAATAATGTATTGTATTTTGCGTGGCATAATAAAGTAACATACTGTAGAACAACTAAAAATAGCTTGAGAAGGGGAGACTTCTGCCGGTCCTCTCTGTGGCCCGGCAAAAGTCTTTTGAAGCTTTATCACATGGAGCAGGTCACTCATTGCCACAGGAAGAAACATGTCACACCACACACTGCACAAATAATTATATGACTTCATCGAAAAGTCAGGATAGGGGTTAAGGGGGGCTTAACGGGGTTCATGTTAAAAAGTCGTGAGAACTTTGCATTCTTTCTAGAAAACTGAAATTCTGAGGTTTTTCCCTTTCTTCCCATGTTTTGAGCGGTTCCTTGCCGATTCATGAGGGTCTAAGGACAGTTATGATCTAGGATATTTATTAGTGATCATCCTGCTCCCTTTAGACCGAGGGCAATAAACGTAAAAGTGACGTCAGTGGCAAACAGGCAGCTGCTCTTAGCTCAGGTTGAATGCATCGGCTGCAGGTATTGACTTGTTTGCTGAGCGTACGTCGTGAGGTTTGTGTTCGATAGTTCTGTGAGCAGGCGTCATCGCTCACTGTCTCGCTGCTGCCGATAAGAAGAATGGGCTGTCACTGTGATCTCTGCTTTGACCAAATCTACACACTTTCACCACTGGCTCTTCAATGAGGGCTGCAAGGATCAATATCACTGACAAAGGGTCGAATGAATTGGGTTTGCTTTCGACGACGTCAATATATATATCATCATGACAAACAGACAATAGAAGAGCTCTTTCCATTATCACTGGAATAATGAACAATGTTTTTAATCACCTGTATTTAACCAGGGCAGTAAGCCATCTATACGTAGGTGATAGTGATATAATTTAAATTAATGTGAATACAATCAATCTAGCCAACTTTTGGGTTGACCTACATTGGAGTGTGGAAATCTACAATTGAGGTGTTGAAACCAAGCTAATAGTTATCCACATTGTCCACAATTGGGGTGTTTTGTGAAAACTATGTTGCAAGACGTTGTCCAACAAGTGGTTAATGTGTAACTTGTAACTGTAAATTTTGGGGCTTTTCCATGTGTGAGGGTGAGGGTTATCTGTTCTGAAATAAATAACCTGCCTGCAGAGCATCAAGGGGGACTTGGCTTTTGGCTGTGAAGGACGCACAGACCTCCTTGGCAGCTGCAAAGACATCTCCTCCTGGTTACACGCAAGTAAAAAACTAATCCCTTGTCTGTTGAGTGCGTTTGTCCAGATAACTGTAGTAGAACTGTTTTTTACAGTCTGTATGAAAAGAAAGGTTTAGAGGTCTTTGTGTAAGAGAAATTAACCTACACAAAAAGTGTCCTGTATTCCTTCACTCTTATTTACACATTGTGACTATTTATGCTTGTGCTTCTGTTCTTGTATTGTTAAGCACGAATTAAAAGCTACAACCTGCATTTCCCTGTTGACACTTTGCTGCTATGATGCCGGTTTCGAGATTTTTGCATAACTATTTTTCTAAAAGATAGTTGTTTGGGTTGTCCTTTTACATAACTGTGGTCCTTCATGGTTCTTTTACATAACTGTGGTCCTTCATGGTTCTTTTACATAACTGTGGTCCTTCATGGTTCTTTTAACAGTGGCTAACATTACTCACTGTTTAGGATCAGCTCAATTAGGTGCAATGCAGGTAACTGAGGCGTAAGTGTTGCCCCCGGCGACAGCGTGATGAAAAAGCGAATCCCTTGATATTTGAGTGTGGTGGAAGCAGCTCTAATTGGAGACTGGCTGACAGCTCATTTGTGCTTTTAGAAGCTCTATGCAAAACAAGATCCTTTGTCAAACATCTCGGACAAAACACATTGGTGAACTCGCTGAATTACAATGATCCTTCTCAGATGATACATTACATCACGACTTTGTGACAACTGGTGTTTACACTAAAACTCCCATTTTGACGGCTCCCACTCAAATCAATGGAGTTTGGAAAAATTACCTACAGTTTATTTTTGTCATTACTTTTATTACTCAGATGGGGAAAAACAAGCCGATTCAGCTGAGGACCAGAACCAGTCTAGGACTAGTCAAAAACCAATCCAGGACCAGTCCAGAAACAGCACCTTGAGAAAAGTGGCTTTAACGGACTAAAAATGCCGAAAGAGGCTTTCACGCTGTATGCATAATCACATGACCTTGTGTGTGTGGAAAAGTTTGGAACAGTAAAGATCAAGTCTTAAAGTTCAGCTTAAGTTCATTCATGACTCAAAGATGACAGCAATGACAGTTTCCATGCTTCTCAGCTTCGGTCTGACACAGACGTTAATTAAATCTGAAAGAAGATTACATGAAAGAGGAATCGTGACACCAGGGAGAATCTCGACAATTCTACTTGTTCATGATCGCCAACTTTTATAAAACAAACCATGCCCCTTGTGTCTTTTACAATTTTTACAAATCCTCAGATTATGAGCCAAAAACATCTGTAGATAGCAGTGGCTCTACTCTGAGCTCCTGCCCTGTAACTGACCTCACCCTATCTCTAAGGAAGCGTTCAGCCACTCTGGTTCTTTTGGCCATTACCCAAAGCTCATGACCATAGGTGAGGGAGGGGGCGTAGACTAGATTGGTCATGAGCAGCCACTTCACAGCAGGACAGCAGTGGACATGCCACTATCACAGTTCAATATGTTTACAGCCGCAATAGGAGTGTTTAATGCTTTCTACCTTTTAAAACATAAGTATTTCCCATAACCAGTTTTGACAACTTCCTCTCCCTATCTTAGCGTTCCAAGCTGTGGTATCTGGATCTGCGCCTGAGCCCCTCCAGTCTGCAATGATTACATACTACAGTTTCTGGATGGAGCTTTGATCCTTTCTGAAATGAGCAGAAGTCTTTTGGGTCACTGTGTGTTTCCCCTGAGACTCTGCAGTGAGGTGTTTGTGGATGTGTTTGTGAGGAGGAGTGATGGCCCAGTACCTGTGCTCTTCTTCAGCCTGTAACAGGCTCCAGGCATTGACTAATGTGAGCTATTACCATTTAGAATGCCCAGACACTCAGTCCATGAGGAGCAGATAGGAGCGAATGGATACAAGAATGTAATCACAGTTTACACAGTGGTGCGATCCTTCTGAAGTGTCGTTACAATTACCTTTGATAACTGAACATGGGAATGGATTGAAGGGGTCCCTCACAGTAGGATTTCTGCCTGGACTCTTACCAAAGTAACTGGTAAACTTGCAGTGCAAAAGGCAGAAATGTAAATATCTTAACAAATAATAATAGTAAAAAATATAATAAAATATAAAGAGTAGAATAGATTGTGAGCTGGTTTCACACCCGCCAACCAAATCTTTTTCCAAATTTCTCACAAAGAAACTCTTTAATAGAACATAATTTCATATAGTTTGGAGATGTTGGTTATAAAGCTGTGATGAAAAGTCACTCACCCTGCGCAGACAGCTCCAGTGGGGACTTGAACTCAACAGCTGATGGTCTCATCAGCCTCTTCAGCGTCTGGATGAGCTGGAGGACACACACGGACACACCACACACAAACTTTTAAAAGGTGCTGAAACTTTGGAACAGTAATTGTTAATAAGATTGCAAATACAAATATACTGTATGAGCACAATTTTGGCAAATGGTTTGCGTCAAGCTTCAGGTACTGTCCTCCAGAGGCCAAAACCACGTCAACAAATCAAAAAATCTATTGTCTTTTCATTGGTCCATTTTCTTGACCAATGAAATCCATCAGGATAAACCAGTGAGCAGAATTTCCTGCGGATCTGCGATTTCAGACTTTTTCCCGCAGAAAATGCCATTTCTGTTATATGTGTGACCGCGAGCACTTGCTGTTGTTTGCTGTGCGTACTCGAACGGGATTCCTCATCCTCTGTTCTGACCCGGGGGCAGCTGCAGCTGCTTAGTAATGACAGCGGTTCCTGTGAGTCGCTTTGACAACAGCTCAGCAAACCACAGCCGTAACGTGGTCATCATAATGTAAAGAGCGCGGACCATCCCCAGCTTGTTGAAAGTGCGGGTCTCCCCTGTGTTTCCTACCGAAGTGCATCCAATCCAAAGCCCAAATTCTCACTCCTTTGACTCAAACCCCGAATATTTGCATTTCTTCCCTCCATAATGTTTACTGGAAAGTCATCTATATCATAAACAGCAGGAAAGCAGTTAGTCATGTGCTGCTCTGCTGGATACCAGTCCCATATGCTCCTATGTTAACATATGGTCTCTGTTCACAGACAAGTGTGGTTAGAGTAGTGATAAAACATACAGCCGCTATAGTGATAATCTTAGTATGACTAGATATAGAATCAGGATAAATAGAGCCCGGAACTGCTTTTTGTATAGTTTTGGTGGCACATTTCTGTCTCTGGTCTCTGTATACTTGAGGCTCAGACCTCTCTTGTCTCAGTATATGTTAATTAATTCAAGTCTCATACATCCACATCCAATGTAATTTTCACGAGTAATATTCCAATAACAATAAACATCCTATAACACTTTTATGATTGCAAAAGGTAATAAACCAACCTTTGAAATTGGCTTGACTTTGCGCCACAACAAATTACTTTGTTCATGGTCTTTTATGGATTGGCTTTTCAACCTAATTGCTCAGGCTGCGTGTTGCTCAGAGTGGGACTACAAGCTTAATTGCAAACTAATCTAAATCCAGGTTCTAACCAAATCACAAAGGCTGCAATATATGAAGTTCTTGGTGCGCAAAAAACTACAAAAAAACAACATTTATCAAAAGCAGGTCATTTCAAAGTCAGTGTCATGTTATATGGTCATCTGCTTTGCAAACCCAAAGTACCTAAGGTCCCTATCACAATGTCAGAGTGTCATCCAGCCAACCACAGCTCCGCCAATACAAACATGTTGTAACTCTGCTCAGAATCTCATGAATCCAGTCGGTGGTTTTTGTTTAACTCAACTTGTGTTTGATTCTGGCACATAATTCCCAAAAGTTGCTTGTGAGAAAGTATGCATTTGTCATTCAGCCAACTTAAGCTCAGTCACATGTGAATAAATATGGACAGAATCTCTCAACTGTAAGTATAAATATACAATTGTTTTGTGTTTGTTCCATTGGTGAATTGTGTTTAAGAAGAAAAAATGTAAAACTATTTTGACTAGAAAAAAAGTTTAATAGATAGAGCTATTGCACCACAGCTACATTAGCGCCCTACTGTATATGGAATTTTGTAACACAATCAAAAACAAATTCCATCTGGAATCATTCAATCAATTCATCAATTCAATTTTTGGCAAAAACTTAAGATAAAATTCAGAGAACAAGCATCTTTTAATTCAGCTGCTGACTCTATGCTTCTTTTCACACATTTCTGAAAATCACATGTGTGAGAAATGCAAGTAACAAGAAACACCAAGATTGACAAATCGCTAGTTCCTCCCAATTTATATTACTTTCTGTTTTGATTGACCCGCCAGTTTAGAAAAAATCTTAGCTTCAATCAAATCATCCATTTTCCAGTAAAAAAAACAGCATACTGGACCGATTGTTAGCAACTCTGGTATGGGGTATGACGTTCAGGCTCATTATCCCACCCATTGGTGAGGCACAGATACCCCCTGCCTCAAGGCCAGCTTTTTCTTTGTTTATTTTTCTCAGATCAAAAGACTAAATAAAAATAGTACATACATGAGTGCAATGCATTACTTGACACTATGTTTAACAAATGTTTTAAAAGCAGGTTATTAGAAAAAAACTGCGAATTGTCAACCAGAGACGAGCTCGGTGAGGTCTCAGTACAACATTTTGGTACTATTAAACTTTATTGAAATTGATCGAAATTGAGCTTGAGGGATTAGCAGAAGTGGATGCTACAACGCACAAACAGCCATTGCAAATTCATTAAGAGAAGGCAGCATCATTAGCACGGCCGTGAAGGTCAGCATCGCATTAATCCAGTGCTTAACCTTAGAATCACCCATGGGAACCACATAGTAGAGCAGGGAGAGGGGCCACAGTACATGCTGCAGTTAAAGGCCTGTCTACACTCGGGTGTCACGGTCTGCGTTGGTGTTTGCGCCGGACCCGTGGTTTATTTTGCAGCAACAGTTGTTTGTGTACTCGAGCGTACCCCCTTGTGTAGTTTTGAAGAGAATGTTGTAATCCCACACCACAACCACATACATAGTTAGATGGATACTTTAATGATCCCAGTAGGAGAAATTCAGGTGTCCAGTAGCAGCAAAAATAAAAAATTAAATTGATCATTCTAAAAAGTTAAAAATCATAATAATCAACAATAGCCCTTCAGGTCACAGCAGAAGACCAGAAATGTCCTGGTCTGGACCAGTGCAAAACCATGAACACTGTACTGCAGCAACATCTCAGGTAGAATAAAAAGCAATAAAAATACAAATTCAAAAGCACAAAACAACAACTGTTTCAGAGCTACTTAGGACTTGCAGCTGTTTTCCAGCGCATTCAAAGGTAAACAATGAGGCATTAAAACTCGTCCTGAAGAGCTTACAGTCTGGTGATCTCGCAGAAGTTACCCGAGACACCAAAGCGGTCCCATTAGAAAGTTACACTAGTTACTTTCTCCTTTTCAGAACAAAAACAATGATGAAACAAGCTGTTTGAGCTCATTAAATGTGTATTCTAGGGGTAGGTTTATATGAGTTCTAGCCAAGCCCCGGTGATCCAAGATGGCGCCCTATTCAAATGAATGGCTTGTGCTCAGTAGCGCATGGGACTTCACGGAGACCGGGAGATTAGAAGAACTCGCCAATATTTGGGCATCGTCTGGTCCTCCCGGTTCTGCGCAGTGGACGAGCTACCCATGATAATTTGCGCCAAACGTGCGCGTGTGGCTCTCATGCATGCGCACAGAGGGGCTCGGCCGCAAAACAGAAGGATTTAAGAAGAAAAAAAGTTCAGGATGACAAGGGACACTAAAATCTCCACCAAATCCAATCTTTATGAAAACTGTAGGCTCTCTGTCAGCTGAGGTTGAGCTGTTTTAATTTACATTGAGTTCTATGGGACTTTTTTCTGGGTAGCCCTTGTGATTTTAGTTTGCAGTACCACGGGCGCCCCCTGTGCTCATGGGTGGGACAGCTGTAAGCTAGTAATTCCCTATCCAGTGATTATTATAGATCCATGGTTCTAGCTCATTGTTTCATGATTTTAACTGTGAGGCTGTGATTAAAGACACAGTTATTGTTGGAAACATAGTTATTATTAAATTGTATTTGTATTCAAACAAGAACAACAATAAGTGATACATACAGTATCTGAGACCAAACTACAGTATTTACAGAGTGCAGGATGAATGCAACAAGGTGCAGATGCAATAAGCTATGTACAAGTGCAGATACAACAAAGACAGGTGTAGGAACAGTGCAAAATAATCTGTATAAATGTTTGGTGCAAGATGCTTTTCCTTTGAAGATGTCTGCTCCAAAGTGCAGCCATTCCATGCTTCCATCCAAAACTTAAACACACACGATCCAATCACAACGGACCATCTCTGCGCTGCCGGCTGCGTAGTTAGGAAAATCTGAGCGTAAAGGGGTGGTAGCGGAAAGGGTCATCAGCCTTGCGGTGATCCTTGCATTGGTCATGTGACATCAGGTGACGTCACGAGGGCTACTGCAAGCGCAGCAACGCAGGAGTATACATCAGTCTTAAGGAGACCACAGCTGACCCACTTAATTCAATTAAATGTTTGTGTATAGCCCTAAATCACAATCATCATAATCCTCACTGTCCTTAGACCCTCCTGCACTGGAATAAACCAGTCAAAAAACCAGTGGGAAAACGTGAGAAACCTCTGGGAGACCCATATTGAGAGAGGGACCCACTCCCATGAACACACAGGTGTAGATCCAGGACTCAGGCTGAAGAGGCAAGCAGCTGACCCACTTAGATCTCGTGGTGGTGCTGGTGAGACTGTAAGCTCTTCAGGACGAGTTTTAATGCCTGTGGAGGTTGTCACATCAGAGATGCGCGTTAATTATTCTGGGCTCTGACAAGACGTCAAACTCTCCATGTGGTGGAAATGTCAATGGCCCTTGAATTGGAATTGTTAATTGGAGAGGTTATCAATTTGCAAGATTCCAATTATTATGTCGTCTGCAAAAGTCATCTCATAATGAAAACTCGTATTTATCCAAGAGGGACCCATTATTACTTTAACATGTTTTAATGTCAATCAAAATAAATGCCAGTCTTTTTACAAGTACAATGCCAAAAGAATTACAGCAATAACTTGTATTTTTTTGTTTTCAGATCCTGTGCCCCGACCCCATCACATCACTTCAGTTTCCTGATTTCCTGAAGACAATCGCAGCTCTGCAGCGAAACATGTTTACAAGGTCATACATCTAACATCTAAAATAAACAAAACATTTCCACTCTATTTTTGCTTAAAACTGGGCCAGTAGGTCACACAGGGCTTGGCCCCTTCATGCGTGTGTGTTTGTGCACATTTATAGGAGGATCTTGGAGTGACGTCGTTGTTTATAGTTTTTCC